AGTGTGTGTGAACCAGGCTTTGTACAGAAGGGGGAGGGCATCAATTCATTTCAACTCATTCTCGGTTCAACCCATTCCAAATGTGAAAAGAAAGTGCAATTGATTTGCTAATGATAGAGTATTCAGTCCTAATAAGGTGGATATGACAACCTTGTCCTCCTCGATGGTGAAACGTTCGGAAGAAAATTGGCTTCCTAAATTGATTAAGCTGAAGGTGACGGGAGCCAGCCGTACAGGATGTTGTGTTATGCTATGAAATGATGATTTGATATAAACGTGATACAGCGGTTTATATCAGGTTTAATGCTTACATTTGTTGGGGCTGAACAGATTATGATTATTGAATTATCGCGTAACAATGGAAGTGTAAATATGTGCTCAATATTGATTTATTAAATGTAATCACTCTCCTTGTCTCAGTCAAGGACTAGTATCAGTCATCTTTTGAAATAAGGTTTTTACCTGCTGATACTTAAATCACATTGTGTGTGCCTTCTTCATTTTCTGCATGTATGGTAACGTTTATTTTAACTATAGTTCATCTCATTCTATTTTAAAATTGTGTGTAATTGTATTATTAAAAGGATATATTACCTCTTTCAATTCCCTTATTTAAATTCCTTTGAACTGAGAATCATTTACTTAAATAATATTAATCAGTGATATAGTTTACTATTGTTGTTTGTCTTATGTTTCATCAATTTATTCCTCCTCAAACAGCTGTTAATACATTATTTTAACATTGAACGGTTTATGTTTTCCAGTTTATCCAACCTAAACCGCATCTGTTATGTTGTGAATAAAAATCACTGTAAAGGACTATTTGACATGACCCTCTTATTTCCCATCAAACTAACATTTCTGCTCCCTCATGCCTTGTAAAAATGATTTCTTACTTCACAGTCATATGACAATAATATTGACGGTCATTGGATCCTGCAGTGAATGTGACACAAATGGCATATAAATCCAGATGTGGCTGCTTTTAATGAGCAGCTGTTAGTGATAATCTATGTGATAAATGACTTTTAGCAGCTTTAAGCCGTTCGGCTGCTGAATCTCTCCATGTGGAGTGTAATTTGAACATGACATCGTGATAAGTAATGAAATATCAGGGAGCAGTACGATCGCTCTGGTGCATCCGCCACACATTCACAGTGTCATGTTGACTGTAATCCAGCACATGGCCTCCCTCCCTCCCTCTCTGTCTGTCTGTCTGTCTGTCCGGGGGAGTTGACATTGAATTTTTCTTTCAATATGGAGTAAAACTCAGAGTAAAACAAGAGCAGCTGTCTGTGAATGCGGTGCTCGGCCTTCCTTGTCCACAGGCTTGTTCTGCTAGTTGCAATATTGTGCTGTTCCATTAACATGTGATGGACACAGTGCAAGAAATCTCAGCGTGATTTTACAGTTAGATCACAATTACACCACTGCACTGTGTAACCGTGAATAGCTGTCTCTAGGTTTCAGCTGTTTCTGACTCTCAGACCCTCAATTTGCTCCAGCGGTAACCAGCATGAGTGTTGCCTCTCTGTCTGCACAGGATGGATGCGGGATGGGGGCACTTTTACCATGGCAACCACTAATGCAGTATAGATGCAGAGACTGAGCCTTGGCTACCGCCGTAATAATACAGGATTCATGGAAGGCAGGTGAAATGTCATGCAGGCGGTTGTGAGCGAGGAAAGCTTTTGATGTCTGGAGTGGTCAACACTAAAATCCCACTGCTGTAGAAATGAGGTTATTGTCTTGTATTAGTTCAGCACCGCAGCATCCTTTCTATTCAGTCACTGTTCAGCAGTTTGTAGATGGCCTCCTGTATTGCATTACAGCACCACTTCATTTTTTTCATGTTAGCTCTGCCAATATTGTCAAGTGTCTCCTTCACATTGTTTTCCTATATCGGCTTATACTGGTCAATCCTTGTAATCCCACTGTAGCCTGACTCAAATATCTGGTCCCTGCAGTGTCACCTCACCTTTTTCTAGGATTTCTGTTTCCTTCTCTTTACACACTGGATTACAAATGGAACATGTTTGAAAAATGACAAATGGAATTTTCGTCAACGTAACTTTGTGTTTTATAATCTTGTCGTGTTTGCCCTGTCAAAGAAAAAAGAAGCAATCTCACCTCTATACATTCAGTGGTGAATGAGGTGATGTTTAGATGATCCAATGTTTACATGTCCTGTACACTAAAACCTCACAGTGTGCTGAAAGATGCAGAGTTGCAAACTAAATGAAATAGCAAAAGGTGATAGTGCTGCTGATGTAAAGCTAATTCGCCTCTATTTTCTTTGGATTCGTATTTAGGGTATTTTATATTTTAATACACTAGGCCTCATTTGAAAAATATCATATTCCTACATAAAAGGGAATACATTACTTAAAGAAAAATACATTTATTTGAAATTGGTCTCAGATTGAGACCTGTGCAGTGCTGTACCCACTGTGTGTTAAAAAGATTATGTTTGGTTTGTCTGGCTCTGTGAAAGCCATTTTTCAATAAGGCCATAAGTTAAAGCCCTTGACACAAAAGTGTCGGTCCAAAACAAACATTGAATCTATGTGTTCCCTGTCCATAGCACATCTTTGACCTGTGCTATGTGGTAGTGTGCGTGTGTTCCTGTGTGTGAGGGGGTATTTGTTTTGTCTGCCCCTATCTATAGTTCTGTCCTGCCCCTTTCTTTCACAGCTAGAGAAAGGAACCACACCCCTCAGACCTCGGCCCAGTGTATGTGTGTGTGGCGTTTTGCTCTCCTGGGATTTTGGGATTTCTTTAACACTCTCTCTTAAGGTTACCTCAGGAATAGCTACATACACTCTCTCTCTCTCTTTACATATATATTCATGAATATATATGATAAGATAAAGACACAGTAACGTAATGTAAATTATATCTATTTTTTAGTTGTATAACCCTTGTAGCTGCAATATTATATTCTTCACTTCTGATGCTTTTCCAGCCTTTTACTGCAGCAAGTTGTAAATATTCTAAATTCATTCAACTCTTAACATCGTGTGTCTTATCTTCAATAAAGATTAGTGAGTCTGCTCCAGAGGAAACCATTCAAGCCCAAGACATGACATCTCTCCCACTTGGCTTCACAGAACCTGTTTGTTCTGGATCATGAGGAGATCCTCTCATTCTCCACACTTTGGCATTTCTATCACTTTTAATGGTGAATCTTGGTCTCATCAGTCCAGAAAACCAAAGCTTTTGAACTCATCTCTTAATTGCTCATTCCACTCTGACCACCCAGTTGCTGCTGATGCATTCTGTGGTTTGGCTTCGATGTCCCTGCTCTCAGATTCATCTTCAATCAATGTTGTTGACCTTGACCAACCAGTTCCCTTAGTAGGTGAGAAACTTCTGAACCATGCAGCTGTGATTCAAGTGTTTCTCTAAACCATAGTGACTGTATCGTGATGACTGCTCTCTGTACGATGTCTGTTAGACCAGTTCAACATTTTTAGTATGTTCTGAATTGTTGTATGGGTTTTGCCCAATGTTTGAGAAATGGCTCTGATCGATTTTTCCCTCTTTTCTCAGCTTCAAAACGGGTTGCTTTTCTCCCATAGACAGCTCTGTGCTCTTTATGTTGGTTTTACCTTTTTAACAACAAATGCAGTCTTCAGAGGCAAAATCAAACGCTATAAGAGTATGAAAGATAAGCATATACATCCAGAGTATTCACTTTATTTAATGTTTAAACAATCAATCTAGTGAGGCAACAAGAATCACCTGTAAGCCAGACATGTTCCAATATTTTTGCTCACATGAAAAATGCATGGATTTGAAGAAAAGGTGCTGGGTTCTAAAACATCCAGACGTAAATACATAAAAGCTGAAATTGTGTGTTTCATATTCATCATTTGATCTTAATCCAAATGTCTCTGGTGTCCAACAAAAACAAAGGCATTGGCCCTTCCAATATTCATGGTGGGGACTGTATATATACATGTACAGTCCCCACCATGAATTAGTTTTGTCTGTGTGTGTGTGTGTGTGTAGACAGAGAGGGAGAGATGCATGACTGAGAAAATACCATATGTTGTATATCCATAAAAAAAGTCTTAAAGAAAACATGCACAGCCACGTAGAATAAATTAGAGACTGCGGCACATACATATGTCAATGCAGCAACACACACATGCACACACACACACACACACACACACACTAATGCCAGCACACCGAGTTGGCTTTAGCCAATAAAAACAGAGCTTGGATCTGACCTGTGCCTCCTGTGAACATAAACCCTCAGGGAAACCAAAGCCCTCCTGCTTCGGTGTGTGTTATTAGTGTTATTCTGAGGATTGTGTTATCGTGGACTCGTCCTGTGTTTAGTGAGAGCAGCAGCCACACACACACACACACACACACACACACACACACACACACACACACACACACACGTGCAGTTTCCTCCCAGTCGTGCATTAAGGGAGATGAGTGCACAAGTCAGGATAATTGTTGGTTCAGTCAAGGTGTGTGTTTATTTGTGCACAGCGAGTTGGTAAATGTATGCAGTCCCCTACGGTTTGGTTGTGTGCCAGTGTGTATCGAGATCCTTAATCTGCTTTTCACATGCATGGTGTTGTTTTTTTCAGTTCTAGAGGACAGTAATTTGCTTAATGTTTGTAACGTCAGACCACTTCACCATGTGAAGAAATAAAGAAAGCTGAAGGCTTCATGGACTCAGTGAACATATTTTATTCACTATTAGTTGTTTACTTTAAAGCGGAATTGACTTCAACCTGCATAAATAACATCAACCTTAACGTGTCCTGCATTGCAAATATGTGACACATTGTTCTTCACCACTAAGGATTAATAATTACTGTGCTACATTAATTAAGTTTTACCTTTTACAAAGTGTTTATGAACAATATGCAAAGTTATTCAAAAAAATGTGTCATTATAAATGCACTTTATGCTTAATATAAAATATGCTCTCTGATTGTCTGTACCATTCTGCATTTATCAATAAATTGCAGGTGTCAATCCTCCAGCGAACTCGTCCTGCTGCCACGATGGAGCATGAAACGGCCTCTCCTGCTGGAAGAACAAGAGGTGTGTGGGCTCCCTGAAGTGGCACAACACCGGGTCATTGGAGAGCCACAGCGTGTTTGGGCACAGAACTATCTGTGTTATTTCAGCACAGCCTGTTGGATGGAGAACCATTTCACAGGCATTATGGATTAATCTTTGGCAGGATCTCTCCAGGATCAAACCAAATTGGATGTTTAACCTCACGTGTCCTCGAGCTGAGTGTCCTCTGATAAACACGGATAGAGAGGATTGAATGTGACCCACATATTTTTTCTAAATGTATTACCTGACTCCCTATGAAAGGATGGAAATGTAGTTACTCTGTACAGTGAACATCCTTCTTCAGGTGAGTCATCCAAAGAAATACAAATTCATTGTGTTTAAATAGAGCTATCACTTAACACAAAAAACATTGAGCAGGTTTTTTGTCCAGCTAATTCTAAGATTGTTTTGTTTAAAACAATAAAATTGTAAATTGAAAAAACTGTAAGGGCTATAGCTTTGTACCTCAACTCTTTGACTTAATGCCTCTCCATTCTTACACTAATAGAAGAAAAGATTTACACTGCTGTATTTATTACTCCTGTTTATTTTCTTTCGAGAAACAGAAACTAGATTCACAGCTGAAAACATCTCATCTCTTCCCTCACTTATTATAACCTGTTTGTTATTTTGGGCTGCAGTGTAGAAATATTAAAAAGTTCAGTTTGACAGGGGAAGTGATTGACAGGTCTAAATTTAACTATTCACGTACAGGAATAACTGTAATGTAACAAAAGAGGTAGTATAGAGATGTGTGGAGATAGCAGAACAAAACTATGTGAATGGAATTTCATGAATGTGATCTGATTTTCTGTACGATCACACACATTGAACACAGAAGCTGACTGTGTTTTTCAATGAAACATCTTGACACATTCACTGAGTGCAAAGACATTTTGATTGATGCAGAATGAGTCACGGATTAATTTACACAAACAGTCATTTTGATTTTAAACCCTAGTTCTTAATCCTGGACCAGTGGTCACATAATTATACAGCATGTTTACAGTGTGGTTCTGATTAAAAACGTTGCTGTAACTAAAACCCAGCTCTGAAGCTGCAGTGCAGCACCCTCTGTTGAAACCTTGTCAATCCTCTACTGTCTTTGTTCAAGCAGTTCATGTTTCATTATTTATTCCCATTGCTTTTGCATTGTGTGACAGGAGCAACACACAGTTTTGATTGCTAGTACATCTGTCAGAGACACAGTTACATTTTGAAAAGGCTGTAATAATCATTTAAGTAAAAGAGATCTGCATTTTATATTTGTGATAGGCCAACACATATCCAACTGGTAAAGGTTTTCAACATGCAATATAATAAAAACACTGGCAAATACAACATGCTCCTATTCTCTGATATATGATCTTAATTATCAGATTTTTGTGTTGTCAAGGTCAAAGTGAAATATAAATGGGTACACAGTTCAATTCCTAGAAATACTTTTAAATTAGCTCAACTTTAATTCACCAATAGAAAGACAGAAGTGCAAGATTATAATCTGATAAATAATCTATTTGACAAGACATCTTATTACAAGCAGGGTAACTGGATGAAATAAGTATTTTATCATTATGGCAGTGCACAATTCTCCCTGTTCAGATATACATTTTTCATTATAATGTATTTTAATCCTAGAAACCTGAACCAACAACTACAGTGCAACATGTTTGATATGAAGAATATATACTGAGTAAAGATGGAAGTTAAGTGCCTTGCTCATGGACAATAGATATCCTGAGCCATATAAGAGACACACCTCACCAAGCACATGGTCCCCAAACCACTGCACTTCCTTTCTGCTGACATGTGTTTTGGAACATAATCAAAATCTCTCACATGCGGTGTGACGTCATCCTGTTTTCTCAAGTCCCTCACTGTGCCACCACTCATAGTCTGGTTATATCAGCACGCTTCCGAGAGATCACATGACTGCATGCATTGATTTCACAAACCATGGCTGTATATTAAACTGAGTGACAGCAGTAATTCTCACTGTGGCTTGAAATCCGTTCAAAATCATATGAATCACTCGCAGTTTCTGTAAATGTCAGTGTTGCAATCTAATGACACAAGGTGGACCCACTCTGGGTGATGTGTTGATGTAATCATTTCCATATGTTCGATCCCACGACTGCTGCACTATTAGAATTAGAGTTTGGCTTTCTCTAACTTATTCCACCCACACGCTGTAAATAAAGGTTAATGAAATCGCCTGCAGGCAGATGAGAATAGAGACTTGCTCCTGTGTTTGTCCATGACAGTGTTACCTGTAGAATGAAGGGATAGTGTGAAGGCAGCACATTACTGCTCTCCATCTTTTATTACACAGACATTAAGCGACCGAACACTGACTAGAGGACTTGTAATGCATATTTAAATTTCCTACATGGTTTGACTCACTTGGTATGGAACGAAATAAAAAAAAGTCATCTGAAAATTAATAGCCACAACTCTGTGATCTTAGAATAAAGGATAGATCACACTTTCCCTGAAAAAGGCCTCGGCCGTGCCCATAGATCACTAATAATTCTAATGACTGAATCTGCCTTCTAATGGAGACAGGAAATATGATTAATTAAGTCTATACTATTTTGAAGAAATAATCCCTTTAGCAATGGACACATTGTTTGATCAGTTAAGTCTATAAGACAATTAATTGCCTGAACTCAGATTTTCTCCCACTCAAACTATGAAAAACAGTAGTAATGAGTCACTTCTTTTATATTTTCTCTTAATGTCTGAGATTTGATTTGATTAAAAAACACAGACAAATGTTTTTCATCCATCAATAACTCAATCACTGAGTCACACACTCATCAGGATGGTCCAACACGCAATGAAATGCTTACACATATATTAAGAGAACAATCTGAATGTCTGACAGAACAGTGGTTGGTGGACATGAATCGACTGCCAACATAATGAAAAACCTGCTTGTTGTTTTCAGAGTTTATTATTGTGTGCTGTCACTGGGGTTACTTTCATTTATGTTGTTCATCTTCATTTTCTCTGGTCTAGTAACACATATTCTGATGGGTACACCTCTGCAGACATCTTTATATTAAAAAAAACCCTTCTACAGATATCAAGATTATTCATCCAGACTCTGTAGCTGCAGAGATACACTGATAATTGCAGGCATGTAACTTTTTAATGTTCACCTGGGAGAAGAACAGGTTTTAAGAGGTTGCATCATAGTTGACCTTTGGTGACACTTCTTTTAAGAAGGTGATCTCATTGTTTGGGAGCTCTAATGAAACTTTTTCCTGTTTTTTCATTATTGTGCATACAACTAATACTGTGGACTACTTTTGAATGTGTGGGGTATTAGTTATTCTGCTGAGAAACAGTGAAAGCACCTCTTTAATGTGACTGCATGTGGAGGGGTCACTGTTCACAGGTGGAGAATCTTTCAGCTCATCAAGTTTTACTTGGAATCGGATTTCCCCATTTCTACTCTGCCGGAACTTCATTCAATTGTGTATTCCTACTCTGCTGCAGGCTGTGGTATGTTTTCGTTTGCTTCCCGTTGTTTGAATGAAATAAAACTCATACCCCAGCCGTGTGGTTTCATGTTGGGTGATACATGTGTATGAACGCGTAATAGCGATGCGAATGTCAAGATTTATTTTCATTTGGGTTTCTATTTTATTAGAACGCAGGGCAGGATATGCGACAACCGGGGGGTGTTGTTCGGTCTATATAAATGCGCCGCCATCTTACCTTTCCCAGTCTCTGCTGTTCCGGGCTGGTGTGAGTCTGACTGAGGAGGGAGTGGACGTGGGCTCCCCGCTGACGCTCGACTTTCATTCTCCATTTCTCGCTGGTTTTTACCCTCCAGGACCCGAGTGGACGGAGTTGCTTTTGTTGACAAGGGTAGGCTTCACCATTCTTCAGCCGTTCGGCTCCGCTCACTTTCTGCCTCTTGTCTTGCCGGTGAACGGCAGCGGGGACGGGGACGGACGGGTGGTTGTGTGCGGGCCGGCCGGGGATGATGCTGCCGCCGCCGCCAGCGAGCCTCTCCCGGCAGATTTTTGGGATCTGCCGGCGGCCACCGCCTAAAGGGAACATACACATTTTACTGACGATATTCGTTGACTTTATCAAAGCTGTGGTAGAACAGACAATAGGGAGATGTGTGCAGTAGTTTTTACTGCCTCGCGGGTTATTCTAAACCTTTATGGAGGTTTGTGAGTAAACTCAACATGTTGGGTCCTCGCTTGTTTCACTAGTTGGCTAACGTTAGCCCGGGTTAGTTAGCTTAACCAACATTAGCCCAGTTGTGCTGCTGGTCTGTTCGGGCTCGGGTTGTTTTTGCAGCTGGTTCAGTTCAACACACGTCAACTCGAGAGATACCCGCTTGTTAAGCTCAGTCTGCGGGGGCCATGTGTTCACCTTTACAAACTCATTTAGTCAAGTTGGACAAAGCAGTGGTGGGTCGACCTGAACGCAAACGTTTACTTCAGTGGAGTTTGAACTTGTATAAAAACTGCTCCAAACTCTTGAGTTTAAATGAAGCTCGCTGCTGGAGGAGTGGGTTTAAATGTTCAGTAAACGATCGCACGTAAGTGAGTTTTTAGGGAATAGTTGGTGAGTGTGTTTTCCATTCGTCCTTTTAAACAAAGACCGACACATTCCTCACAGAGCCTGGGGAAGACGAGGAGGAGCCACGGTGTGAAATTTGAGTCGGTGGTGTTGGAGTAAAGAAAGTCCGGGACAGCTGTGGAGGAGCAGGGGCGAACCACGCGTACATTCATTCATTGTGTGGATGATATGTGTCGATCTGTTGTGTTTGGGTGTTTGGTTGATTTCCTCACGTTAGCTCCAGCTGCACATCCAGATGTGTGTGTGTTGAGCAGCTGGGGACGGACCGGCGGGTCACCACGGAGGAAAGTTGGAAACCTCGCTGCTCCTCGCCGTCCTGTCGATACAGAAAACAAGCGGTCGTGTGCTTCTGTGGAAAAACCTGAATGTTTATGTGGTTATATGACGCTGAGGGTTTGGGTTATTTTCTCACACGTTAGTGATTGTGTTTTACTTACATCGGAAATGATGATTTCGAATGGAACACGGGGGTTTATCAGCGTGGATGATGACATCTCATCGGGCGGCTCCAGATTTGTTAAAATGGCTTAAACCCTGAAACAAAACAAGATTATTTTAGATGAGGACAGAGACGGATCATTTTTTTTCTTACATTTCCTGGACCAATAACACCAATATCACAGCACAGAACCACGTCTTTGACTGTAGGTCTGCCCTCCAACATGGTTTTAAAATCCTCCAATTAGATTACACTGTGGAACAAAAACTGACAAACATCATCTTGTCAGCAAAAATGTCTTCAAACAGTGCATTACATTTTTTAAAGACGGAAGCGTGGGTGTAGTCTACATCACAGACGGTAGTGGTTTGTTTTGAGGTGATCCACTTGCAAGG